GGGGGGGGGGGAAAAAAATAATGAAGATAAAAATGTATTAGAGATCTGCGGAACTAAAGGAGAACTAAAGGACAAAGCTTGAAGGTAAAGAAAAAAAAAAAGGCCAAAAGTTGTGCGTGGTGTGGTGTCGCATGCAAATTAAGGCACTTTCAAGACTCTACCCAACCAACCAACCAATCAGGGGCGTGCATGTTATAGCGCACTGATGCAACCGCAAATTAAAAAAAAAAAATTCAAGTGAAGAAAGGATAAACGGTTGGGAGGAGGGAGCAGAAAGGTGGAACATTTCCCAAAAGAAAAAAATATGTCTGATGTTGCAAAAAAAGTGAGATCTTGTTGGGGGTTGGGAGGGGGTTCCTCAGATCTGCAGACCGAGCCAAGCCTTAGCCTGGCTGCATGCAACCCTTCACATGAAGAAAAAAAAACTCAGAGGGGAGGGGGGGAGTGGAGGGGAAGAGGAAGGGCGTCTCTCCTCGTACGTGGAAACCATTCCCTGTGTGCAGGACTCGAATGACAAATCAAATCAAAGAACGAAACGAATGGTGGAGAAAAGACGTGCCACCAGGATAAGAGTCTATCTCTGGAGCTGGACTGGATTCTGCATGGGCGGGACTGACACTGGAGTGTTGGGGGCGACTACTGGGCGAGCTCAGAGATTGGTTGGGCGGCGTGCATCATTTGACCATGCAAGTTTATACCTTAGGTGTTCTCCTGAAGTCAAAGTTCTGTGGGTCGATGCTTTCATAGTTCCTGATTTTAGTCTGATGGGTAATGTGCACAGAAAAAATATGCAGACACAGAAGATTATAGACAGTCAAGAAAAGAAATGAAGCCAGTAAAGCATCCAACAAATGAGCTGCGCGTTAAATCAGGAGGGAGGCAGCGAGCGAGCAGACACATCACACTCTGTCTGTCTCCGCAAATGTCCAACGTCTCATCTGTCCGTCTGTCTGTCTGTCCAAGCGCCTAACAGTCTGTCCTACCACCCAACATGGGGGCACGAACCCACGACACTGATATTAAGAATCTCACGCTCTACCCACTGAGCTAGCCGGGCTGATATAGCATGACTAAATGTGATTCAATTTTCTCATTTTGACCTGTGATATTCTTATATTTATTTTGGTAATTCTCAACATTACATGTAAACAGCCAGTGGCAGCAGCATAAGTGGAGTTCCCGTGACTCCCCACTAGGTGCTGGGGCCCTACAAAACCAGGATCTCTAAACTGGAAAACTAACATTTGAAGGAATGGATGGATATGTTGCAGATACAGATCAGAGAATTAGTTACGTTTTTTTCCCCCGCTTCTGTGAAAACGTTAGCCTCTGTAAACCATGTCTTTATTATAACTTTATTTTTATCAAATTCTACTACTCAAAAAAATTAGGTTAAACTTGGTTTGTATTTCCCTTAGGAACGAAACAAATCCCTCTGGACATACACGTCTGAGCTACTAGCACTTTACAGCGCTAAGGCTAGCTAAATGTAGCAACCAACTACTACTTTCTGTAGATGTGTTCACTTCTTACCCCCTTGGGTTTTAATTATGAAACTAAGCCTCTTCCTTCAGGAGAAACAAGCAGTTTGAAAAATGCTACCTAATTATGCTAAAAAATGTGACTTCACACACTTGAACCTAGCCAAGCTAATCCCAGCTAGCCATAATCAATCAGTTATCGAGATATCACACTGTACTATTTTATTGGCTGATTTTTAGTGTTTATTGGTGACAATTTTATTAGAAAAAAAAAAGTGATTTCTCTTGTGTGAGTACAGGGTAATCTAAGGCAAGACAACGTCCCCTGATGGTAAGCCGGAGTGACAGCGCGGCGTCCCATTAGTCCTCCATTTAATCCGCTCCAAATGTTAATCTCATTAAAATAACATCCAGGTCCCTGAACATCACACGCTCTCATGAGAACAACGCTTCGACAAAGGTTTTCCTTTCACTGTGACTAAAAAACTATATGAAATATATATATATATTGCTCACAGGTCACAGCAAGGATGGTGAAGGCAGCGCAGCACTAAGTGGGCCGTGTCTGTCAAGAACAATAACCAGGGTGAAACTACGGAAAGGCTTTGTGTCAGAAAAGAAAAAAAAAACAACATTTTATTATTGTGACACAAACAAAACTTAATTTCATTTAAAATAAAAAAAATGATTTAAATACAGATTGAAATAAATGATTTAATAAGGTTTTTATACGTAATTATTATAAGTTTGGAGTCTAATTTATCAAATAGACGTACGGTGAAAAAAAGAAAACGCGTTGCGCAAAGTTCCACGCCCCGTGTATTTGTGTGTTCAGAGTACAGTACTGCACCACAGCCGGTACCGCTGTGATATTTATTACTTACTACATTACTACATTATGAATAACGCGTAGATGTTAAATCCGGAACAGATTACACTGCCGCGCTCTTCGCCTACTTTGACTAATGCGCAATAATTTATGACTCTGTGCTGCTCTGCTCTAATATTAATGATGGTTTCGGCTCCGACGCCGTACAAAATACAACTCAACTTTGAATACTTTTTATGAAAAATATTTTAGTCCCAACACATTTATATCCCAAAATTTGACATAACCAATATATTAAAAAATATATTGGATATGATGAGATAAATACAAAGTCACTTCTACGTATTTAAATCTAGACCGGTGCTTCCCAACCTTTTTTTAGCCATGGCACATATATATATATATATCATCAGGAAAAAACCTCACGGCACACCACCAAACAAATATACGAAAAGTATATTTAATGAAATATAATAATCTTCCAGTTGAAATGACCTCAAAATTGACTCAAATCTCGGCCTGTTTAGTTGAAGTCAACGCTGATATACTGGCAGGAATTGAAGAAAGATACAAAGAACTTTTTTTTTCTTTCTTTTTTTTTAAGTTTTTATAGCTATCTGCTGCCACCTAGCAGAAGAGGATTTAATTGCTCTGCCTGTCACACATTGACAAACAAAAAATATTTGCAATAAATAAATAGTAGTTCCGGGACCAATGATGTGACAGTGGATAATTTTCCACGGCACACTAGTGGGTTGGGAATCACTGATCTCGACCACTGAGCAACTTGTGGCCCGGGGGCCAGATCCAGCCCACAAAACTATCCAATCGGGCCCGAGACTGAATTTCAAAATTGTGAGGATCAAAGGGAAAATATCATGTGGTCCCCTGTTCTGTTCTTGTCTCTGATAAATAACTAATATGAGACAGATAGACAGATGGACAGACAGACAAACAGACTACCAATCGGACAGAAAGGTGGTTTGACAGTGAGGCAGAAGCAGCAAAGGTGTGTTTACGAAACTCTCAATGAGATGGCGATGGAGCGGTGAGAGGATGTAGTCAGAGAGAGACGGAGACAGAGACGGAGACAGAGACAGAGACAGACTGACAGTGGTTAAAAAGGGAGAGGAAATCTAACTGGAGTTTCAAAACTCAGAGTAAAAAAAGCAAAATAAAAAGATAAGGATTTTCCGCACGTCCACCAAGACAAGACTCTATGTCCGGGATTCTGCGTTGATGAAAATCCAAATTCCAGCTCCACACCAAGACAACGTTCTACAAATCTTTTCTCCGATTTTCTCCATTTCCAGAACGCAGAGGTTTCCTCCACCTTAAAACTAAGAAGAATCTACTGTAACTTTTCTCCACCATAACAATATCAACATTCTCTTTAACACAGAGAAAAGAATTCGGTAGAGTACAAGTGACAACTAGCCAATGTTATTCACCAACAGCGTCCCAATCTGTTCCTGATGGCGCTGACATCACGGTTTGGCGTCCGCAGCCTCATGACTACCGCGCAGTCTGTCGACCAAATATTCTCACAGAACACAAATGTCTTGACATTTCCACCCACGGACGCCATCTTGGCTTGTTCTGTCTTTATGTTAGCGTTTCTAGAAATTTGATTTTATGTTGGTGCAATTTTAGTGTAGCGGTTAGCACGCCTGGCTCGGAAGCAGAGAGCAGAGAGTCTTGGGTTAGATTCCCAGAGGAACCACATCCTTGGTGCTAGCCTGCTAACGACACAGCTAACGCAACAATTTCCCAAATATGTGATCAATATAATACAATTTTTTATTTTTTTTATTTATACTTCTTTCGATGTTTCAGCCTTGGTTTCCACAAAACCAAGTTTCAACCATTTTCCGCATCCCTAGAACCAAGCTTCGTGTCACGTGTTCACGTTCTCCACCTCGAGGTCCACAAAATCTCCACTGCGATTCTCATTCCTCCGACAACACTTCCGCAAATGTTCTCCACCTTCTAATCGTTCGCGGGTTGGTGTGGGTGAACGTGTAAAAAAGTCCATTCCAACGTTTTGAAAGTTCCACATTGGAAACTTAAGATGTTCTTGGTGGAGATCAAGAAGGAAAAGCAGAAATAAAAAAAGAAGGGGGAAGCTGCAGGGAAGTCTGTTTCAGAAAGAATATTAAAGCTGGGGATGAAAGAAGGATGACGGAGGGATGATGGCACACACACACACACACACTAGTTTTTATTAGTCTCGCACTAAAAACACCACACTCGGATTAGAGCGAGTCGCACACACTTTACACTGTGTTTCACTTTGTGTGTGTGTGTGTGAGAGGCAGAGAGAGAGAGAGAGAGAGTGAGGGAGAGAGCTCACCTTGGTCTCTTTCTCTTCCAACAGCGTCTCCAGTCTCTTTTGAGCGGCGCGGCCCTCGTGATCGTCGCTCACGATCAGGATGATGTGGTTCCACCTGAACTCCCTCATCAGGTCGAACCAGACGTTGGCCTGGTGGGAGTACGGAGGAACGGTCCTCAGGAATGACAGGTGGATGCTCTGAGGGGAAAAAAAGTACCAGTCAACGGCAATTAAGAACAAATAAAAAAAAAAATTTTAACGATGCAGTCGCGGGCCATATCAGAGAGTTCGGTGGGCCATATTTAGCCCGTAAGCCGCGAGTTGGTGATCACTCATTAAATATACTTTTTGTAAGATTTCTCCTGATGATATATGTGGACACATGACCATTGTATTTAAACTGTCCAGTGAACATCGGTATTTTATAGACTTTCACTTTCACTTTCACTCTTAGTTTAAGACAACCATATACAAAAAACATTTTTAACCATGCAGTTGCGGGCCAGATCAGACAGTTCGGTGGGTCATTTTTATCCCGTGAGCTGCGAGTTGGTGATCACTCGTTTAGAAAGTCATACTTGTCTGGCAAATTAAATGTACGTGTACTACAGTACTAGGGAACAATTCAAAGAAAATACAATTTGAAGGATGCAACGTTACGTTTGTGCGATCGCAGCAGTGAGTGTGTGTTACGCGTTTATTGGCAGAGCGCGTGTGAGTCAAACAGTGTGTGGTCATGTTTGCCCGGTTGTTTTCTCACTGCGCTCGCCATCTGTTGTTGACTCGGGCTCGCTTTTCCGAGCGCTGGGTGTAGGTGGAGGTTTATCGAAAGCGCTCGAGCGCCGTCGGGCCCCGTTCCTACTCGTCCCGATTCCTGCGGTGAGCGACCATATGGTGAAGTGACACTTGGCTTGAACAGCCGTTGCGACGGATTTTTATTTAGAAACTGAAATGCGTCAGTATGGGCATCGTCTCTGTGTGCTGACGTTTGTTTATGTTTTTAAACTCAGGAGATAATTGTTAAAAAAAAAAACAGATTTTTTCTACAATCTCACTCAAAATTTGAACTCGCTGTGAGTGAAGCCTCTCTCCAGTAGATTAGGGTCAGGTCTACCGGTGGTCATCACCGGGTGAAATACTGTGAAAGTACGTGGACTGTTGGTCCCAGATATTCTGGGAGCTACAGTACGATATTCCATCAATATTGTAAACCTGAGAGTAGAGAGAGCGTAAGAGGCTTCCATCCAGTCACACGTCTGATGGACTCTGACCTAGAATAAAGAATCCATTAGATTGGACCTGGACCACTGCCACGGCGTTTCCACAGTGATGAGCATGGTCAGTCACATGGTCAGTCACATGGTCAGTCACATGTGCTTTTTGTTTTATCTGTTGTCCAAGAGAACGTCCACTTCACCTACGGTAACGTCTTCACTACAACCTAAGCTAATTCTAATAAGCTATTTAATTAACAAATCATATATAAAAAGTACCCACCGTCAGTGGCGTCAGCACGGTAAGGTTCTGGTTACCTTGTCAGAATAAATCGACATTCTTGTCGTCAGGCCGACCACGGGAATCCTGTAGAACCCGGCGGTGTAGGAAACGGGCGTCGGAGTCAGGTGATCATTGGACTGAGGCGGGTGACTCACCAGGATGGCGTACACCTGAAAACGACAAAAAAAAAAAAAACTTGTGTGATTTTCTTATGTGTATGTTCAACAACCAATCACAATACAGAGTTGTTCTGATGGTCTTCTAAATACAAACCAAACCCCTGTCTATTACAGTGATTCCCAACCACTGGGCCGTGGCAGGCTAGTGTGCCGTGAGAAATCATCAGGTGGGCCGCGGTCAATTATCCAATTTCACTTAATTGGGCTAAAAAGTATTATTTTTTTTTTTTTTTTTTGTTGCTCGTCAAAGCACGAAAAGTAGAGCAATTAAATACTCTTCTGCTAGGTGGCAGCAGATAGGTATGAAAACTGAAAAAAAAAAAAAAAAACGAAAATCAGAGCTGTTGAAGATTATTTGGGTCTTTCTTCAATTCCTGCCAGTACATCAGTGTTGTCTTCAACTAAACAGGCTGAGATTTTTTTTAGTCAATTATGAGGTAATTTAGACTGGAATGTTATTATATTTCATTAAATATACTTTTTGCGAGATTTGTGTTTGGTGGTGTGACGTGGCTCAAAAAAGGTTGGGAAACACTGGTCTATTAGTCATTTGATCAAGTTAGCCAGTTGTTCCCAAAATAGTGGGCGGGTCCCACATAGTGGTCACAAAGCCTAAGGCAGTGTAGAAAAAAAATAAATAAATAAAAGTTCCTAAATAACATGCTATCGTGTGGTCCAAACTCGTGTGGTAACAATGAGGCCGGACCCTCGGTGACTCGAGGGTCAGGTTAGGCATTGAAGCCGGAACTTACCAGGAACTACTCTGTGAAAATGTGTGAGTGTTTAATCCCTTCATCCTTCGGGATGATGGACCTATTACATCAGTGTTTCTACGGAGGGACAGAGCATTAATCTGATGGATAATGATGCTCACTCACTCTCTCTCACTCTTTCTCTCTCTCCCCCTCCATCTCTCACCACGTCGACCTCATTTAATTCCTAAAGTAAATCATGCCGAATTGGAATTTGTCCTTATCTCCATACAGATGATACAGAAGATCCATCCGTCACATACAGTAGTTCAAATGAAATGCATTTTGCTCCAAAAAAAAGACAAATATAACGCAACCCACATAGTGTAGGTCAGTATTTGGGTACGTAAAAAAATAACCAACTCCAGTATTGTGTATCATGTCTTCAAGTACCTTTTTAACCTTATTCCAACAGAGAGCGACATTTCACATTTCTAGTCTGAGCCTTATTCACATATGTCAAACGTAAGGCATGCGGGCCAAATCTGGTTCATTATGTCATTTTATGTGGCCCCTCAGAGCTGAACATGTGTATGATTGTCTTAAACTAAAAGTCAAAGTGAAAGTGAAAGTGAAAGTCTATTCAATACCGATGTTCACTGGACAGGTTAAATACAATGGCCATGTGTGCACATATATCATCAGAAGAAATCTCACAAAAAGTATATTTAATGAAATATAACAATATTTTAGTCTAAATGACCTCAATTGACTCAAATCCCGGCCTGTTTAGTTGAAGCCCACGCTGACATACTGGCAGGAATTGAAGAAAGACACAATGATCTTCAACAGTGCCGATTATCTTTTTCTTTTTTTTTGTATTCATAGCTATCTGCTGCCACCTAGCAGAAGAGGATTTAATTGTTCTGCTTTTCACGCTTTTGACGAGCAAAGAAAAATTATATGAAAATATATAAATAATAGTTTTCAGCCCAATTAAGCGACATTTCTTCCGGCCACACTGGTGTGCCACGGCCCAGTGTCGGGAATCACTGGTGTATAGCATATGTATGGCGAGAAATCCGCATTTGAAATCAAGTGTACGTTCACAAATATTTACTAACTACTACTAACTACATCTCCCATAATGCATCGTGCGATCTCCTGCACAACCGCACTCTTAGCTTTGATTGTAGATGTTCGATGTTCGCCCGGAGATAATTTGTTTCCTCGTTTCTTCTGAATTAAAGGTTGGGCAACGGAGGCGCCAAACCAGGCAGGGTGTTAAATGTCTAATGGTGGAGATGCAGGAAAACTACACACACACACTTTTCCGTGATAACAGGCAATAAACGTTATCTTATTAAGCAGGCCTGCGGTAAAAGGGGCAAGGACGACCTCAGGTGTCTTTGTCGACTGATTTGGGAACAAAAGGAGAACGCTTCCCGTTCTGAGTTCCCGTACTTTCATAATTGCCGACAAGGTGAACTTGACTCCTCTCTGAAATCCCGCCCGCTACCTTAACTGCTGTCTCAGCCGGAGATACGTTTTTCCGCGAACATTCCGGTCGACTTAATTAAACTGATTCATTTTTGATATCATTACACATCTGTAAACAGTTCTGTGTTGTCGTTCCATTTGTTTCGTGATCAGACTCTCTCCCCGGAGAGCAGCAGCTTGTCAGTCACTTCAAACGACCCGAATCAGGCAGCAGGCGGCAGAGACTGGAGAGAGTTATCTGACAAAATGAGACCAGCTACAGACGTCAAACGCCGCGAGTCAAGTCGAACGAGCGAGCGATTTCCCCTGCAGCGGCTGCTCCTTCTCTCCATCTATTTTCATTTGTCTTTAATCACAGATGCAGAGCTGAAGGTCACAAAGACGCCGCAGAGGAATAGAAACGAGTGAAGTTTAATTCTGGGTGTTTCAATATGTGCGGCGGTTTCTAATTAAACATCAGTGTGTCCTCGGGGGGGCAACGGCGGTGGAGGGGTTGCTCATTTATCAACCATTAAATACACTTGCTCTTTAGTGACTCTCTAAGTATATGTAAAATTAATGTATGGCTCATAAAAATGACACGGTGGCAATACGTTTTTGTCACCACTGAGCTCGCCGACGACCTTAGCATGCGGTACAACAATGTGAAAATGACAGAAAACGTACGAGGAATTCTCGAGTTTGGCTGGTAAACGTGCAGGGATTCTAGAATAGCAGCCCCTACAGATGCGTGTTCGTGATTTACTCCCTCTTTATGATCAAATTAGGTTCTGCGTCAAAACATTAAAACCACAAGTCAAAGGGATGACAATGACGCTAACAATGAACTTTCAAACATCGACTTAATAGCTATTGTTACCAGATCTGCGTTCATGCGTGACACTAACAATTAGAGAGTTAATTACAGCCTCACGGGGTGATTTACAGTCACTGCAGCCTCTTTTCAGAAAAAAAAAATCAGCAATGCTGTAAAATGTAGCTGTTAGCAGTTAGCCGTTAGACAGACACTCCTGGACGAACGGCACGGTAAAGTAAGGGTCTCAAACCCCACCCAGATTCGTAGAAGTCAAGAAGATACGTCAAGAAGATACTAACAGACATAAAGTCGCGATGATCCTTCAGCGATAGGCGTGGTGCATTAGCGTTTGGGGAAAATTATGCAATGAAGCAGCAAAAAAGCAACATAGATTGAGTTTTGTAGCTCTACACAACCTGAAATGCACTGCAGTTCCACTGTATGTTGATCACAGCTTTTTAATGCCTCTGTGCCTGCACATCGCTGACTCATGCTGGCGTACCTTATGACCGACATGATTTACTGCCTATAGGAAGTCATGTTTATACCTCATACTTTAATTTCATAAGAACATCTGTCAACGACAGCCCCCTGATGACATCACTCACGTGGGTAAAAGAAAAAGACCGACGCTACCTGGTTGGAAATGAGGTCCTCGCACACAGACAGGGCCATTTGGATGGCGTTGGGCTTGTGTGTAACAGAGATGGCGTTCATCTTGAACTTGTCCTTCCCGTACAGAGCGTTGGCCTGGCTCACCGCTTCCTTGAACACCTGCTCGTAACGTTTTTGACTCAGGACGGCGCCGTTTCCCCCCGCCGGGGCCCCCCACCCGCCGCGAGCCACCGAGCAGCACTGTAGTACAGTGAGCAGCAGCATGCTACGCAGCTCCACTGAGGGGGAAATATAAAGATGGAGGTCAGACCAGGAGGGGGAAAGACACGATTGAGTGCCTTTTAAGGTTTTTTTGTTTTGTTTTTTTTAGACCTAAGAATAGAAGGATGGACACAAAGTTTGATGGTAGGAGCAGCAGGAAAATCAGATGATTGAACCAAGAAAGACAACAAAGTAAATAATGTTTATGCAGAAATCTGAGGTTCAATTTAGAGAAATAGTAGTACAGGATGTGGAAATGAGAAAGAAGAAGGTTGGGGAAGGCTAGGAGGGAGGGTGGAGGGGTGAGGGAGTGGGATTGAGGGTGCAATTGAGAGGATGAAGGGGTAAGAAAGGTGAACTGATGAATGTTCCAGAGGCATTATGTGGGGAGGGAGTTGGGTGAGGAATGAGGAAGGAGGGGTGAGTGAGGGGTGAGAGGTTATTTTCAAACATAATGTAATGTAATTTCTACAGAAAGGTTATTCTCACTCACAATTTTTCTTCACAGTGGTGTGGACTCGAGTCGCATGACTTGGACTCGAGTCAGACTCGGATCATCAATTTGACGACTTTAGACTTGACTTGACAAAATGTAAAGAGACTTGGAACTCGACTTTAACATCAATGACTTGTGACTTCACTCGGACATGAGCCCTTTGACTCGACAAGACTTGATACTTTCTCCATAACCCAAAGCAAAGCAATGACTTGGTCCCACCTCACTCCTATATGTTAATAGTGAAATTGAAATTCATTTTCCTTGCAACGGCTCATACCACGTACACCTGAGGGGTGCCGCCCCTCACCTTGGGAACAACTGAATTGGGCAACATTTGTATTTAAACATATCCTGCTAGCATACTTTTAAATAGACCGCTGCTGTTAGGACAAATATATTATATGTGTAAGAAAATGACCAAGACATTTGTTACTAACGTGCAGGTCGCTGAAAAAAAAATCTAAATATGTCTGCGAATAATAACATTATTTTTACTTAAATCTAAGCACCTCGTGAATAAAACCCACAAATAACAGACAAAAAAAATCAGTGGAGGGTAAGGGTGAGGATGGAGACGGAGGAAAGAGAAAGGAGGAACGATTATGAGAATACGTGAAGCGGCAATAGTAAAAAATGTAAACACAGGGGTGAGGATTGTGGGCGGGGCTGTGGCTGACTGTTTTTCCTTCCCCTGACTGACTGATTGAGAATCAATAGTAAAAACTCACATAATCTATACTTGATCAAAAACGGGTGATGACTGATTGGTTGAAACACCTGGTGACGTGAGGTCGAGACATTCTAAAACAGAGGCAACTGATGAGCAATTGATTGACATTGACTTGTCGCGCCATTAATGACGTGACAAAACATAAATTTACGCCGGTACATCAAACAAACAGGTTATTAAATCACTTACTGATTCCAAGTGTTGTTGTTTATCTTTATTCCGGCGCTGGTGTTGACACGAAAAGCCCACAACTGCGGATTCCGTCACAGCAGCAAGGGTTTTCACTCTCCTGTTGATTGATTTCAATCACGGCGATATGCCGATGTTGCTCCCGTCAGTCTGCGACGTTGGTCCTAAGCTCTGCTTTCCGGTTTTTTTGTTTTGTTTTTTTTTTAACGTTGATAGCCCACGGTGGTGGTTCACCGGGGGAAATCACACGTACTTGTCAGTCACGGCGTGAGTGTCCGTGGAGCCGCTCTTGTCCTGTTGATTCACTGTGTCCTCGCAGCCTCGGCCCATTCGACAAAGTTCGTTGTCCGGTCGTTTGTTTTTTTTCCCCACCCACGTCTCGTTTGTATGTCGTTTTTTACGCCATATTGGTCGGTGGACTTTCGGATGACCTGATGCTCATGGTCTGTCCTTGGATCCCGACGCTCGCGCCCGCTCACAGAAAGGAGATGATGCGCGCTGCCGCTCATGCGCGGACACGAGCGTCCTCTCTTGTTCCCGCGCGTTGGCACTTACGTGTGTGCGTGTGTTATTGAATTATCAGCCTGTGAGTAATTTCTTTACCGAGTAAAACCTTACAAATATGCTTTTACAGCATTTAATGTTATGCCGAAATAAAGATGGTCATTTTCGAAACAATTTACAACGTGACTCAGCAGGATATGTAACATAGTAAGTACATAAACTAATGTGCTGTATGTGCTGTTGTATCGTTAGCTCCACGGAGTTCGCGGGCAAAGAACCATAAAAAAACCATACAATTACAGTATAAGCTTTCACTCGCCATGTTTTTTTTTAATAACAGGCTGGGTGGTCAATGTTATCTATGTTACATTGTTACTATTTCAAAATAAATCTTATGCAATCTGAGAACCGACGATATTCATCATCCTTAATTATACTCAGTGAAGCTTAGAATATAATATTTCTAAAAATTACTTATTTTATATATATATATATATCTTTCTAGCTATGGCTATCTAAAATGTGATTTTAAAAAAAGAAAAAAAATCTTTTGTAAGTTGGAAGAATACATGTATTTAGACAAAAGAGGAACTTTGTTTTACAATAAAAGAGTTTGGTTTAAGGTACAAATGTCAACATAAGTTATTGTTATAGGGTTGTTATACAAAGCAAAGATTTTTTTAAAATATATTTATAACTGAGCTATTTACGGAGCCTAAATTGACATATTAGTCAGCAAATATACCAAAAGAGGATTTTTTTTCTTAAATTAAAATGTTATCTATACATTTATTTATATTATTTAATTAATTTATCTCCCACTACTTCTTTAAGTTCTTGAATGGGGCTGACATCAGGCAAATGGTGTGGAACGCTGACGATGGAGTTACGTCCAAGGGAAATTCGTACCAAATGGTGTCATCCTTCTCCAGGTGGTTTGTGAAATACTTCAGTTTGGCTCAGCTCCTGTCAGCAGGAGTGTTTTGTCTTCGGGCCTGAAGTCTATTTCTGTGTAGTCACGGTCTAGTGACTGCGATTTGTCACCAGTGTCTTTCTTGGCCGTTATCCTAGACAGATGTCTTACTTACTTTTCAAGACACATGACTGACTAATTTTTGCTGTGAGTTTTTTTTTTTTCCCCCAGATTCTTTATTTACTGCGCATATGTCATCCTCTGGGTAATATTTCTAGCTTCACTTTTTGGCACTGCTTTACAGCTAATGTATTTGTTTTGTTTTTATTTCCAGTTTCAGTTAAGTTTTTTTTTTTTTTGGTATTTGCCTCGATGATGTCAAAGATGGCATCTCATACCATAGCATAGCATAGCCTCATCATAAGCTATGGTTGCGATGTACTTTTTGAGGCATTCGATACTAAAACTAGTCTGTTTAAAATCCCTGTAGAAAAAATTAAGAAAATAATATTACTTTTTTATTGGGTTCCTGACAATTTCTGTGCTTTCCAGTCATACATATCCTTCATATATGAAGCCCTATCTTAAAAACAAAGTGTAATTGTTTATATTATTAATTATATTAAATTGTTAAATGTTAAATGATATTATATTTTGTGTATGTGTAACTTGTGTAAGAGGCATGTGCACATACAGTATTTCCGTGCCCATTTTTAGCACCTAATTTACATGAATTCAGATGAGACCCATTTGTTGGTCTGTACCATCTTTATGTGGGGGGGGGGTAGGTTCCTCCTAGTTCTTCTCAATCTGATCTCAAGCTGAGAATATAGAAGCAGCGGTAGATGATGTACAGAAGATAGTTGACTCTGGATTTAAACTACAGACTCCAGTACAGACTTACTTATTTTTGCCCGTCTTTTTTTTTTTCATCTTTTACCACTCCTCTCATGTTTCTCTCTGTTTTTTAAAATCATATTCATTATTTCATCTACTGTCACCATGTACAGTTGCCAAAGCAACGGTAGGATGCAGCTCTGTATCTTTCATGTGGTTGCCACGGAAACAAACCTCTTTTCATACCCGCCTTCCACCAGATCTAACTGGTAATTATCACAGTGACGTCTTTACGGCGCAGCTGGGTCGACTGTTGATCAGGAATTCTTATTATTGGTCATTTTCATTTTGTAGTTACAAATCGGGAAATTCTTTGTTCAAGATAATTCCACAGAGGTTCTGAGTTATTGACACGGTACAGAGGAGCTGAACAGGAGGCACTGTTTCCTCGCGTGCCTCTGTAATTAAATCAAAACTGTGATCCGTATTAATCATTGTAATTAGGTTGAAATATAAACAAGAGATTGTGATTAACTTTAACTTCTTTTTTTAATGTAATTTGTTCTCCCAGGGCTTTGGCACAGCTGATGATTTGCATCATTGTGGTAGGATACAGCCCTGGGGAACCATCTACTCTACAGAGGGGCCTGCAATGATGAACACACTGCAGACCAGTGGAGCCTGGCATCATACCTCACACATAATTTTTTTTTTTCTGAACGGTGGTTTTGGCTTGTGTCTCTTCTCTGCATCATGTGACTCTGTCTCAGCTGTGAGAACAAAGTAGGACACTCTAACATCACCGCTTTATATCTCCGACGGTGGTGTAAGTGGAGAGGGTTTCAGGTCAGTGGACAAACACACACACACACACTACGTGCATAATAGTGCTCTTTCCGTTCGTGCTTTGGGTTTGGTAAGAAGCACAGGGAGATGCACACTGTGGCTCTTTGGAGCCTGCTGCGTCCCTGGGGGTCGTCCCTATGTGTGTAAGAATCAGTGTCACACTGTGTCCGTCAGCCAGCATCTAGCGCAGGAAGTAACTGGTCTACTTTTACACTAAATCTGCCAGCAATTATGGTCATAAGGAGGTAGTTTTTGTTGGGGTTTTTTGTTTGTTTTTTTAGGTCTTTGAGGCCAGAGTGGTAGAAATCACAAAATATTAAAAAATGAATGTTTATGTGTGAAAATGTAAAGCAAAAAAATTAAAGATGGGGATTGTTGCAAGCTGATCAAAAAGAGCTATCGGGCTACTGCTCATTTTAGAATAATGTTTGATGACAATTACAGTTATTACAATCCTTGAATCGCAACCTTAACGTGGTGGAGGGGTTTGAGTATCCGAATGAACCTAGGAGCTATGTTGTCGGGGACTTAACGCCCCTGGTAGGGTCTCCCAAGGCAAACAGGTCCTATGCGACGGATTAGACAAATAGCGGTTCAAAACCCCCCCTTGATGAAGAAAACAAATCAATCAAAGAGGTTCACGTCGCCCGGATTTACGTCACCGGGGTCAGACCCTGGAGCCAGGCCCGGGGTTGGGGCTCACAGGCGGGCGCCTGGTGGCCGGGTCCTTGCTCATGGGACCCGGCCGGGCTCAGCCTGAACAAGTGACGTGAGTCCGCTTTCCAGTGGGCCCACCACCTGCAGGAAGGCCCACAAGGGGCCGGTGCCTTGTGATTTGGGTGGCGGTTGTGGGCGGAGACCCCGACGGCCCAATCCCTGGACAACCACTCTGGCTATGGGGACATGGAATGTCACCTCGCTGGGGGGAAAAGAGCCTGAGCTTGTGCGGGAGGTTGAACGATACCGACTAGATATAGTCGTGCTCACCTCCACGCACAGTCTGGGCTCTGGGAACTTTTTTTTTTTTTTACATATTTATTCTTGACACTCTTTTTTTCCAACATTTAATTAGCAGTTTTAAGGTTGCTCCCACATAAATAAGCAAAGATACACCTGTGAAAATATCAAATTGTACAAGGAGAACAGGCTCTTTGGCCCAGAGGCAATGTCTCTGTCTTTGGTGTGTTCACCTCCTGGGAATGTTTGAATCCCGGTTAGGGAAGTTGGTACCTTCCATTGGACTCACCACTCGCAGGAAGGTTCAGGGTGGGTTGGTACGGTGCAATGTGATTTGGGTGGCAACTGCTGCCCCTGTGACCCGGTTACAGATAAGCGGATGAAAATGGATGGATGGATGGACAAGGAGAACATTTACATGCAGTACTTTAATCACATTCATAACATAACAGACACTTCTTCTTTGGTCGGTGTGATCAGCAGGAGAGCTAAGTGACAAGGAAATGCTAAAATTAACTAAAGTGTAATGAACTTCTATTTCATTTCCTGTCCTTTCGCCTGCGTCTTTCTCTACACTTTCTTCACACTGACGTTCTTGTAAGGTGAATCCTGCTTCTCCTCCTCTTCTTTCACACTGATGACCGGAAATGCCCTCTGCACTTTTTTGGGCACGGCATAATCGTTCAACTGGGGATCGTAAGGGTACTCGTGGCCTGTTGGATCCCCAGCCGCCCCCATGGTTAACCAGGCGTCTCTTTTCATCTCCTCGGGGTCATCGTACACCGAGGCCGCAGTGAGGGGATTCTGCCCTTTGGGGGCAGCAGCGCAGCCCTCGGGCTCGTCGTAGATGTGGTCCACTTTGCCGTACAGCATTCCCGCAGTTTCGTTTGCGCTTGGGAAGACGTTTCTGATCATCATCTCATCAATGCTGTCGTAGAGTGGGTCTGCGCCAGACTCTGAGGTTACGATAGGACACTGATGGCCGCTGAGAACATCCGCCATGGCATTTTTATCGATGTTGTCAAAAGGGAGGGAATATTCTGACTCCGCCGCATTGGAGGATGGAGGCCTGCTGCTTCCTTTTTCCCTTTTTTTCCTCTTGGCTCCCTTGCATTTGGTGGATGACTGTGAAATCTGGGAGTACAACATATCTGTGTTTGGATGGTGGTAGTTTTTTAAGGAGGTGGAGACAGGGCTGGTGTCACTGTGAGGTAGGGGACAGCTGGAGATCATCTTCACCTGGTTCTTCTGGGGCACAGGCAGATCACGAGAGTCCAGATTCAAACTCTTGACTCCGGTTAGAACTTTGTCTACCGGCGGCTCAAGATAACACTGAAATTTAAAAAAATATATATATATATTATAAGCTTCAGCTCCCCCTAGCGGACCACAAACATTTTTTGGTTTTATTAAGAGCCACAGGACTGCACCGATTATCAACTGAAGACAGTATAGATGTGTTAATCCATGAAAAGTTAAAGTCAGTTACAATGCAGCTTTGAACCACATGGTGGCGATCATTTCTTTAACAGTATACAGAGAAGATTGTCTTCTTTTTTATGTGATCTGTAGCAAAAAAAAAAAAATATGGAAAAACCAAAAAGTGTAGAAAACCACAGAAGAACAGAGC